CCCGAAATGAGAGGAAAAGAAAAGTATTTGATTTACTAGCATCGGTCACCTATGGTTGTTCGTGAATTGACTGGTCTACAAGTACCTGGAAAATTAATTTCCACCGAGGGGTGGGGTGGCCGTGCGTCGTGAGCTCATGGGGATTGAGTCTCCATCAATACATTACAGGGAAGTCTGGTCTGGAGCCAAATTTGCTACAGCAGCCCGAAATGAGAGGAAAAGAAAAGTATTTGATTTACAATCAGCACCACGTAAATAGTTGAGTTGCTCTTACGTAAGATTGAGATTTTTAGCATCAACAGTGCTTTTGTCCTGTCCTTAGGAGAGATTTTCAGTGGAATAGGATACTCAACCCGTCTTTTTAAGGGGCGACGACTGCTCTTTAATCAACGCCGCCCTTTGACAAAGTTGGCTTTGCATTAATTGAAATGACCCCTTTTGACAAAATTGGCTTTTCATTAATTGAAGTGTCCTCTCAAGAAATTGAAAGCACTAAAACTAGATAATAGCCTGCATATCCAAGCTTAATGGCCAACTGGGTTTTAACTTTATGTATCAATTATTGTTGCATGCGTTCACACAGCTCACAGGACTCTGGATTTATAAGTATTAATTAAAATAACAAATTTATGTAAAATAGATTGAATAAGATACTTAATTATGAGTGATATTATTATTATATTTTTAATTATTAATGTTTTATATTTTTATTTTAAATGATCATTATATTTTTTAATTTATTAAAAAACAAAAAATATATTTTTTAAAAAAAATATAATGTAAAAATATAATAGATAATTACATTAAAAAAATGTAACATTAATTATTTAAGATATGTGATAATAACCAACCCCTTAATTATTATTTAGTTTTCACATATTTTTTTAGTAAGTTTACAAAATAATTATTAAATTTCATAGAAGCACAATTATTATAGGATAAGATTTCATATTTATTTTTATTAGACTTTTAACACCCAAACTCACTTAAATATTTGCCAATTAATATAGATGTTGGGAGTAATTATTTATGTGGGTGGGGAACAAAATAAAGGAGAGATATTCAATTAATATAGAGTTTAGGAGTAATTATTAAGTTTTGTTAAAAGAATCATAATAAAATTTCAATAAGATAAAGTTGAAAAAAAAATTAATGCATTGTTTAAAATGAAAATTAATAGCTAAAATTGAGACACTAGAACTAAGACAATTAAAAACGAACAAAGAGATAACAAATACCAAAAAAATTTTAGCGAAAAGATTACCCTTTAATTTTATTGGTTATTGAAACGAATTTTTAATACTTTTTTCGAAATAATATGCCCTTTAACTGAAATTAGGCTTTTAATATTTTACTTGAAATAAATTAATTAAAATTTAACAAATAACATAATCATTTCTCATAATTTTGTTTTCTCTTTTAATACTTGTTAAACTCTTATTAATTAATTGTATAATTTTAAGTTAATTTTTTTTAATATTATGATATTTTCTCTTTTTTTTTTTACTACCAAATTGGTTTCCCTCGAGTTAAAAATTAGGTTAGAGAATATGAAATGTAATTCCATGAAAAAAAGAATATGGAAATGTGGACCATGCATTGTCCTGTTAATTTTGTTTGTATGATATCATGACGCGTCACCTTGTACCAGGTCCTTCTCCCCTAGTTCGGCACCAACATGGCTTTCTCTTCCTTTATTCTTTCACCAATGTGAGGATCCAGAAAATAGTT